AGGGCTGCTTCTCCCAAGTACAATGTGGGTGCTGGATGTCTGGAATGGGATCCCTTGCAAACCAGATGGACACAGTTTGGGTGTTGGTAGTGCRCCATCATCTCTACCCAGCTGCTCTCCTTCTTTCACAACAGTAGCTGCAGTTCCTGGCATGTGCTTTTAACAACCAGGAGAAACCATTTTGTTACTAAAGCAGAATTTGCAGTGCATTATTTATTTTCTTACAAARTCACAACTGATGGAAGAATCCTGTAAGACAATACCATGTATCTAGAGAAAGTTTTGTGGTTTCAAACTGTTGCAACTGTAGGTCTGCTTGTAATTGATTTACAAGAGACATAGACCAGCAGAAAACCAGCAGTGTGACTAGATCCCAGTGATGGGGYTTCATTTGGATACAGTGACTTCATTCACCTCTTTGCCTTTAGTCCTACAATGCTCTTTTTAGTAAGAATTGTCACTGTTCAGGTAATACTGCTTTGATTTATTGACTTTTTCTTTCCCTTTCAGTAGATTAGGACACCTCCATTGCCATACTTTACTTTTACTTTACTGCTTTGCTTTGCTTCTGAAGTGAGTCTATAATCATGGATGGAACAGCTCCCCAGGGGAAGTGGTGGAGTCATCATCCCTGCAAGAGTTCTAAAAACTGAGTAGATGTGGCATGCTGGCATTCAGTTGATGATTGGACTTGATGGCCTTGGAGATATTTTCATACCTAAGGGATCCTGTTATTCTAAGTCTAAAGTCTATATTGAGACTATACTATAATATATTAGGGTCAAGGTACTATAATGATTTGATTTGCAGTTTTTGAGAAATTAAAAAAGTGGTTTATAACTTTTTTGATTAATGTGATTAATTAGAATTAAATTAATATGCTTATAAACACAATCCTTTTACACCGAAGTGTCTTTGGAATGCAGCTTAATTTCTGATCTGGTAATCAGCTGATTGATCCTAGCAAGTGTCCCTCCTGGAAGACATTTAGCTGTATCATCAATGAGCTAGGAAAGTTTTGAAAGCTTCATSTATTTTCCAGGGATTTCCAGGAAATATTAGCTGCTCCCCTGCAAAGTGATGACTTTTAATAATCAGAGATAATCATGTCTGGTTTACAGTGTGGAGACTAAAATTGGAAGCAGTCAGCATTATGTCCATCAGGGAGCAAAGCCCACGACCAGTGTAAACTAATCAGCTCGAGCATCTTAGTGAGACTACACGTCTTGGTAAAGTTCCTCAGCAGTTAAACAGMACTGAGCTCTCTTGGTCTTCACATCATTCCCCTGCCTGAGTTAAAYCTTGGAGGTGAAGGGCCACTGAAATCTTAACTTGCAATCTGGTGCACACAGCACGCCCTGTGCAGCTGAACAATCAGGCCAGGAGCTCTTGTCTCTCAGGCAGGTGTTCCCTCAGTGGGTTTGCTATCAGGAGCAGCCAAACAGGTGAGTAACTGTTTAACTCCTAACATGATTAGAAAGGCTGTTACACCGAATTTGAGAAAGCAAGCTTYACCACCAGTTAGACAAAACTGTTTSAGAAGGGACCATGTGAACAAGGCTTAGACTGAGGTAATGAATGGAGACAGACAGGGCAGTGTGYGACATACTCCCTTGCTCRCTGGACATGCTTTCCTGTGTCTTCTTGTAATTCCCTGGCTTTTCTTTCATGGTGATGCATGTCAGAATTCCCATTCCAAAATTTATAACTTGCTGACACTATTTTGTCTGCMAAGAGAATTCTCCACAACCTGCACAATTAACCACAGAGGCATTGCTCTGCCCCATTCTCACCATTGCAGTTGTTCCCCAAAGTTAAAGGAACAGACAACTCAGAAGTATGATGGATACAAAAGCAGTACTCCAGCACTAGAAAAATGTGCTGSTCTTAGCTTGGCATTTGAGTGAAAGTGTTGAGACCAGAGTTGAGACCAGAGAGAGTGGAATGTCTTATCTTCCTGCAGAAAACACAATATTGCTTGGTTCATGCATCCCTTTCTAGAGGTGACCTGTAGGAATTTGCACTCTGTGCACTTTTAACAAACCAGGGATTTCTGTTTATCGCACAACAGCCTGCCCAGCCACTGACCAGTAGCAGAGCAAATCAACCCAGCCCAGCTGTAGATCCAAGGCCTCATGTAAAATCTGAGCTGTAATGTCCTAAGATTTAGAAGCAACTATTTGGCTGCAGCATAATGTGAAGTGAGATAGCAGCTGTAAATAATTCTAGAGAAAGCTGCTCTGAATCAAATAGCCTTCGATCAGAGCCTAGCAGTTTCATCTTCTCTTTCACTAAAGATGTATTGGATAAATTAAACTTYAAGTGCCTGAAATTTGGGAGCACTTTTTTTGGCCTAACCTTGTTGCCACGGAGGGCAAGGTCAATAATGATGACTTAAAAATGCTGCCATAAAACATCATCCTTATTAAAAAATAACAGTAAAAACATACAGAGAGAWTGTTTATAAATACTTAATGAAAATTGGGATAATTGAATTGGATGAAAACTATCTAAAGCCTCTGTTTTCACTAAATCTGTTATCTTATTTTTCTTCTGACAGTGTTAAAACAATCAATTTTTGGTGAAAAGATTAGTGTTGCTTTATAGTTTCAGATTCTGTACATTTCAGATGCTTGAAACCTAATATTTCTCTTTCATGAAATGTTAAACAGTGATTGATGGAATAATAAGGGATACATGGGGACTAATTACACGGCATCTTTTAACAGGCCTTTTTAATAAATGTTCTTAAATTCTCATTGAAGAACTGCAGATAAGTTGTCATTTTACATCAATGACTGAAGAAGAACTATTTATTATTTTAAAGCAAGTGATGATGTATTATGGGAAATGCAGAACTTGGCACCAGGGTCAGAAATACCTTTTTTATCACTGTATAACAGATTTTACCACCAAACTATAAAATTTTAAAAGCAAGTAAAAAATGTAAAGAAAATTATGCAAAGCAGTAAAGAAAAAGCATTTATTTAAAATCAGCTAACACAATTTTGCAATCTGGTTTACAGTTTTAAATCTAATTTCTGTGGTTTTTGTTAGCTTCACTTCAGCCTTAACTCACTGTTTTGTCAGTGTGCATTAGAGTTCTGCACTCCTTTCTGAAAGATCTGTCATATTGTAACAAAAGAGAGAGACTGATTTGGAATAATTCTGTAAAAGAACTGAAAAGCCCTTGATTTTGGCCAGTAATGAGTAATAAAAATGACTTAGATTGGGAGCAAAGCCAACTGTCTGAGCAACAATATTMATTTAAAATGCACTGAAGTTATATATGATTATGAGAATGCCAAGTGTGTGGCTTATTAAATTTGCTTGGAGAGAATTCTTGGGAGGAGAGAAAGAAAGAGGCAGTTCAGGTCTCACTGAAACAGCTGCATATGAAAGGGTAATATTTGGATTAGAAAATAAATTAGAAGATTCAAAGGAATCAACAACAATGTTTGAACCATATTGTAAAGGAGGCTGAGGATTAAGAGCTTATGGGGAAAAGGAAAACAGAATAGGAAAGAGTGCATAAAGCTCATAGCTCCACAGAGAAACCCTTTCCTGTGTGTTCAAGGGTAAATCTGGTTTATTTTCACTATTTTGTTTTGCCCTTGTTGAATAGAGGGAATAATAGAGTAAACATGAACAAAAMCAGGATGCATTTAAACAAAATATTAGTTAATTCTGTAGCTGAAAAGCTTCATGTGTAATCAAAAAATATCACAACGTTTCTTTTTCTCTGTCTCTTGGTGAGGCTATGCATCACTAAAGCATGCAGATGAATCCTTGAAAAAACCTTCTATTCAAATTGGAAGTGATATGCAAGGGGAGTAGCAGCATTTGTAATTTAGTCTTTCTGCAAAACAGAAACAATTGTATAGTAGATTTCAATGTCATTCCCTTACAATACAGTTATCAGAGAAAGTTTAATTCTCTGCTGGAATACTTTCTGAAAGCATCWGGCTCTGCTGGTATGAAGAAATACAATTGAAAAGACTTACCCTKTTCAATAGCTAACACTTTGTTATGGGAATACTGACCAGAAACTTTTTTGTGATTTAAAATCTGTGAGACTCTAACAGTTGAACTGATACTGTGGCCAGTATTTTTTTCTATCAAGMTGTTTTTGATAGAAAATTGGATTTTTGATTAAGTGAGATGTGCGAGAAGCGATGAAATCTTCTAAGTAGAATTTCCAATGCTTAAAAGAAAGGAATTGCTGAAAAAGGCACCAGATTGCATCATAAAAATTATAGTATTGGACCATGAGTTTCCATTTTGTTCTAGGAGATAGATTTCCTACAACCTTGTCTTGGGACATATGAGTCAACATTAAAAGGGAAGACAAATGCATTTAAATCACTTCTTACAGGATCTAGGCAGTGGCAGGGCTGTCTAAAATTACTCCTTGTGCTGAGAAGTGTTTTGAACAATGCAATACCATAGCTCTGCCCCAAGCTTTAAAAAATAGTTACAATTGTACTACTCACTTGTTCAAACAAAAACCAGATGATCAAATTTCACATTTCAAACTCTRAAGAACACGATGGAAAGAAAATGTCTCTATCTTTCGAATTATGACAACTTTTAATGAAACAGAAATTAAATGATGCCATTGCCTAAGTCAGTGGGCCAGACTGCAGTTTATACAATCCCTTTGCAAAAATCTACAGGGATCCAATCTCTCAGACCACTTGTCTTATTTACTAGAGCTCCTTGATTTCCTTAATTTTGAAGCATTTTTTTTTTGGTGTAAACTGCTGTCTCTGTACCTGTCTGACATTTCAGGTCTCTTGGGAAGAATAGATTCTTATATTCTTGTATTTTTTTAGTTATCCAAGATAATTGTTACTGTTTTCCTGGCAAATTCCCCAGTCTTCCCCCTAATGGAGACATAAGCCTCTTGCTTTGCATTGATGAAATCCCATGCAGCTATATTCCAGTAACTGTTATTTACACCAGCTGAGGACATAATGTCAGTTATTTCCATGTCCTACCTGTTTAGTTCTCGTTCTGGAATCTGGTGATAGATTGTTGTAGGTGTAATGGGCCTGTGTGACTCCACAGAAAAGGACAGCAACAATACCTGAAATTCAAAGAAAAATCAGAGTTAGCTGCTTCTGTTTTCTTACTTAGGCTTGCAAAAGGCTGCAAAAAAAAGCAAATTAGTCTGTTAACTGCTTTTTATAACAAAAGAAATTTGAGAGATATGTTCTAAGGATAATTATGCTTTCATAGCATTTCCACTGTTGTGTATTTGAAAATGCAAAGGSTGTAGAAAATTTGTTTCAATTAATACATGGTATAATTCAACCATAATCTAATGGACAGTAATTGTAAATGTRGGAGTAACATAATTGTAATATGTAGGACTTTAGATTATTTGAAAAAAATTGRCAGGGACTGAATAGGAAAGGAAAAAAGATTTTGTTACATTTAAATGGTTTAAGACTACTTGGTGCTGAATGASTGCAACAGGGTAAAACCATTTCAGTCTGTGTCTGATTGTAGCCTTATCACAAGCAGTGTGTAACAATGTGAGGCTGAAAAGTGATGYTCTGGCAGGTGCAGGCTGTGCTGCCCAGAACAAGCAGGTCACTGACTGTAGGGACGTGGCAGCAGTTATAGTCCCAGCTTGTGGAAAGGCTGGAGGAGCAGGGAAGAAGGTTTGTCAGGAATAATAATAAGACATTTGCTTTRCAGAGGTATTTTTCAATACTTCTTCCCTGGCCCTGGTCCTAAATCACTGGAATCACAGTGTAACATCACTGTAATGCAGTATTGTAATTAAAGTAGCTGATTGTAAGGCCTGGACACCAATAATGCAGGAGGAACCCAAAATAAATTGTCCAGCAGTAGCCATGTATAAGTGCCCACSGAGGAAGAGAGCCCTGTGTTTGTCTTAAATAATGGTAATTATTTAATAGGTAATTAAATAATAGGTAATTATTTACAGAACAGCTCAGGGCTTTCTTGTGTCCATTCTGATCACCATTCCCCAAAACCCTCCCCAGCCTTCCCACAGCACGTGGAGTGGGSTGAGCCCAAAGCAGCCAGCAATGGGATCGCTGTGTGCCCGGCACCTCCAGGGCTCACACCCCACAGTTYCCCCATCCACCCCACAGTGCTTTGTCCTTGTGGCTCTCAGCCTTSCCCTCAGTGCYTCCTGTGCAGGAGCAGCAGCCTGCYCTAATCAGCTTTTTGTTCTGCTTCCTCATGGGCTGCTCCACATGCTGCTGGATAATTTTTAGCTCTCAGGCTGCTCACACGTGCTGGCATCGTACTGAGGAGTCTGAGGCAACAGAGCAGCAGAAAGGTGCCTGTCCAGCTTTGGGCACTGTTCATCCTTGTGATGTGATTGTGCTACAGCTCTTGAGGCATTTACTGGGTTAAACAAGCATGAACTCAGACATATCAACCAGTTCTACTGGAAGCAAAGAGCATGAAGTGGAATGGTGCAAATAATYTCAGTCTGTTCCTTCAGTCCTGGATTTGAAACTGGATGAAGCTTCCTCCATCTTCTCCAGGATGGGGCTCTCCTGACTTCATGAAGGCCAACAAGAAGGGGCTCCTTGAGGGGCAGAATCTGCAGCACTGCACCTCTGGCACAGCAAACCCAATAGAAACAATCTGCTGCTTCAAAAGATTAATGGGAGCAGGCCAGGCTTCAGAGCCCAGGAAAAATGGATTCTAACATACTGAACGAGTGTCCATTGCCTCAAGCACTGGGGCCTCAACAGGTTCTTTAACAGGCTTATCCAAATTTCTGACTGTTTGAATTTTTGCAGTGAGAGGGCTCTTGAGTTAGGTGAAATATCCTCCTGCCCTGAGCCACAGCATAGATAAGGAAACAAATCAAAGTAATAGTTTAGACAATGCTGAAATTATTTCATCTGGGGGAGACTGTGTGTGGGATTGTCACAAACCTGTTAAATTAATCTTTACCTTACTATGTCTTTCTTTAGACTCTCCTTAGATTGCCAAACAAGAAAATATTGGCAAAAAATTTCCAATTTTCTTGCAAGCTCCTCCTTTTTTTCTGGGAAGAACTGAGGCCTGACGTTAATGTGCCTTTGATGGAAGAAAAAAGTATGGAATAAATACTGCTGAGTTGATTTGTCCTGAGGGACAACTGTTGTCAGAAAGAAAATGAGGAAACAAATGCATTTTTTCCCCCACAAACCACTGTGGACATTTTGTTTGCTTCTGACTTTACTTTATATTGTAAATTCATCTGTACTGCATCTACAGAACACCAATTCTTTAGCCAAGAGAAATTCCACTGAGTTTTTAGTGTGTCTGTTTTTTTATATTTATTTTCTGAAGTCTATGTTGATATTTATTTTCTTCTAGCCACACTAAGACTTTTCTTCACAGTAAATAATGTCGGGAGTGTTGAGATTGTCACTCCTTAAATACATTCCACAGAGTTTATTTTTTTGCGAGGTCTAATTACTCTCATAAATGTGTTTAATTCTTTTTTCCCAGAAACTGTACTTGATTGTGCAGAACAGATCTGGGGAGTTTAAAAATTCTCAAGGCATTAATAATATGCAATGGGATGCTCAAACAATGACATTTCAGTTAAAAATACAGCCAATCAGTAATGTTGCTAAGTATCRCTAGCTCCAGGCTCAGTAACTGAAATGGAGATAAGAGCTTCTGATGCAGTTTCTTCTCTGTTAATCACCAGGGTGTCAAGTCTTGCATTTTTAAAATTGACTATTAAATTCAACTATGATTATAAACTGGTTTTGACTGCTAAGAAACTGTTAATTATGGGTAGTGAGAGAACTGAGAGAGTGTCATGAGGAATAAAATGGCTTAAATCTGATTTTGCAATAAGAATAAATGAACTGAACTATGCAATTATGCAAGTGTAGAAACCAGATACCCTGTTTCCAGGAAAGACTGGGGGAATGCAGTGGAATATTTCAATTGCTACAATTGAAAGCTTAATATGCACCAGCCGTGCCTCTCACAATGAAAAATTCCTTAAAAGACTTGGAGAAAATAGTAATGAATTTCCATAAAAATGATTAGTTAAGAATAATGAGCAATTCCACATTAACATACCTACAAAGGAAAGAGAAGTACCTGAAGAGGCAAACACAGAACTCTTAGTTACAAGGAAAAGGCATTCTGGATTTCTTTGTGGGACTGTTAAAGCAGGATTTTGAAGTTAGCTAGGTAGCAAAACACTGTATGAGCAGCATATAGCACAGAAATGGTTGTTTTAGTGGGCTTGCTCTCATGGACAAATAAGTGCTGGAGTTGTAAACAGAAAGTGTCCATTAGATGCAGGGAGGCAGATAAAGCAAGATGGCCCTTTTACTGGCCCTCTGTTTCAAACTGCTGGAGATTCAGCTCACTCACCTGTTACATTTTTAAGTCAAAATTAGCAATTGCTGAGAAACTCAGTACTGCAATTACAGAACAAAATGCTAACTTAAAGTAAGCAGGGAATGTTTTGAGATGAAAAAGGTGGTCAGTTGTTAAGTGCAATACATCTCCATGTGTTTATTAACAGATTACTGAAATGTTCTTCCTAATAGAAAAGATGAGACACTTCACAGAAAAATGCTTATAGTCAGTAGTAAACTTTTAGCTGCAGCTCAACCTCTTTGAAGAGGTTATAGTGAAAATAGAAATCCTACCATTTTCTTTGATTTTTTTTTATAACAGAGAAATAGAGACAGCTTATCTGTTGTTGATAGTTAGAGAACTTATTCTTACATCAGTTTTTGCAAATACTTCTAGTTGAAAAGGTTGTTAAGTCAAAAGCTAGTAATAGAAAAGATAATACAGGACAGGAACTTATATATTTAATAGTATTTTGCTGATGGTGTGAACTTTAAAATGATAGTGTGGGAATTAATTTACAAGTGCTAATCTGAAAACAGGTCCTATGTTTTCACTAAAAGACAAAATAATTTTTACATCATTTCACAAACATGCAAAAAGTGCGTCAGAGAAGAGCAGCATGTGCAGTGTGCTTTTAATGCAACTTGGAAATGAGTGGTCACAATCAAAACTTGAGAATTTGCTAATTTGAGAGACTAAAACTGATATTTGTCTCCAGCTCTCAAGTCTTCTGGTGGTAAAAAAGGGAATTTAGAAAAAGACAACCCCCAAACCTCTACCTTTTGGGGAAGCAAAGGAATAGATATAAAGTATAGCTTAATTTCAAAAGATCTGTAAGCAAACTGACCAGCTTTCACACCAACTTTGAAAGTTTCCAGAGTGTCTGGGATGCCTCTCTAAAGATGCACAACATACTGCAATCCCACAGTAAAGCGGCAGGAACTGGTCTTTCATCAAGGGGGGTGAAATGCATGGAAAAGGGAAGAATGATGATTAGGTAAAGGAGAAATTATTTAAATCAGATAACATTTCCTTTGGAGTCAAATTAATGTCAGAATCTCCACAGCACCTGTTGGGATGCAGAATGAATGTGAGTGGCGGCTCTGCTGTCTCCCTCAAAGCGCTGCAGTAATAAGGCCCAGTGGCCACAATATCCCTATTCAGGTTGTTTTCACTGAGGGGGATGAAGTGTGACTAATCATTTTCTTGATACTAAAGAAAAGATTTAAGGCTTCTTTCACGAGACCTGCACCAATGCAGAACCAAAGCTCGTGCTTTGTTCATGAGGCTTTTATCTCTGGAGTTGTCTGAGGTTGATTTGATGTTGAAGTGACAGAGAGCAACAAAAGCTGGAGCTGAGGGGATTTTTTAGGCCCTTATCTGAGGACTGTTCATTGGTATTGCACCTGGCTGCTTCAAGTGAGACCTGTGCTTTAGTGAAACCAAATGAATCGCTGAATTCAATTTAGATTGGAACTCCTATGGTGACATATAACAGCTTTTATTCTGGACACRCTAAGTGTGCTTACCCTGTTTATTCTGAACCTCTGTTTTAGCAGTAAGACTCCACTGTTCACATTTTATGCAACTGATCTTTGGTCTCAGCTTAAAGCCTTGTTAGAATATGTACTTTTCTCTAAAAACATGCACCTTTCTCTTTTTCCCTTAGTGCCTTAGAAGGCTGTACCTACAGCAGGCCCTGAATTAGCCAGACCCAAGCCC